ATTTGGGATTCGTCAGCTGGATGTACCTGCACCTCAGTGAGTGGCATTGTTCCCACTAAGACTCGAACCTAGTACCCATCGCTCCAAACACCGAAGCATTGTTCACTGAGAAATGGGTTGGAAGAATCCTCTTGGGTGGTCAGATGAAGGCGTCCTCCCAGTTTATGAAGTCTTTAATTATGGATCTCAGTCATTTAGGGAGGCATAGACTGCCTAGTTCATGTAATCGGGATTATAAGAATCTTCTGTTGGAGACTGTTGGTGATATGGTGATGTAAACGGTCAATGCTTGAATGTGGACTTTTTCTAACTGATAGGTTATAAATTATGCAACCACAAAGCTTTGACACTATCTTTGACCAGGGTTAATAGTGGACCACTAAAACGTGAATGAGACTCTCACTGGTCAGGGTCAAGGACATATACTTAGACAACATTTTGCACGAGAAAAATTAGTCAATCAGCTGTCTTTTCGTCCGTTCTAACAACTGAAAATCTGTTAGAATCGTGAAGATGTCTTCACCCTTTGATGTCTGCTGAAGTTTGAACATTTTCATGATTGCTTATTGCGTTAGTTACTGAGATGGCTTCTCAAATAGCACGAAGTAAACACGAACAGAGGATGTCATAATTATGGCATATACAAATGCTAAGGTGGTCTACCTAAGCTACCTTCAGTTATATACCAGTTAAAATGCATTAATGTGGGGTCCGTATGTGATACACTATTTTTGTAAACAAATATACCTAAAAAAGAAAATTCTTGTCTGTGTGCAACAAAAGAATATTCGTGAAATAAGGGGACATTTTGATAAAGAAAAGGTGGTAGTAGTAGTCAAGATGCAAGATGACAGATACGAAGTAGAAAATGTGTATTGCCAATAATTGGGACGGTAGTCGTTAAATATAGTACACCTTCCACTAAAACCGTCATTTGCAAAATGTGCTTCGTTTCCTCTTCTGCTTCTTTTCTGATTTGCTCTTCATACATTCTTATCAGCAACACCCACTGTAATACGCCTGCGTTGCTCTTGGTAGAATCCTTACCCGTTGCTGGTAATCCCCTATGATTTCTGCCAACCTCTCAACATGTACTACCTATATCCATTCTTATCAGCAACGCCAACTACAGTAGTAGTAGTGTAGTGGGCACAACTGATAAGAATGCATATAAGTTGTATATGTTAAGATGTCGGCAGAAGTCATAAGGAATTACGAGCGATGGGTAAATATTTTGAGCCTCAATCTTATCTATCAGCAGGAGTGCCGTCCATTAGACACACAACCTCTCGACCATTTATTCTCGCTCTGGCATCCAGAGCAACCCCATCTATGGCTCCTACGACATGTAGTCTACTCGTAAAACAGAACCTATGCTACATTGTTAAAACGTTTTCTTTTTCGTCTCTCCGCATGCGAAGCCTTTACTCTGCCTGTTGACATTCATTCGAAGTGCAGTCACCTCCTGTCGAAGATCATCTTTCTTTCCAGTTACTTGTTTTTGGTGACTCCACTGCAGCTACTGCTGTACCCATCAGAAGTCTGGTCACCTCCGCCAGCTCACTAATATCCCTGGGTTGGTCTGTGTTCACTGGTCGTAGCTGCTGGGTAATGGCATTCTGGATACTTTCGGTGAAATGTTTAGCCAGAAACCGTATCTGAGAGTCCTCATCCAAAGTAGAGAGTGATTTTTCAACTCCACAGCCAATACCGGTGGATCTTCATCCATTCCATGTTTTAGACTCCGGAACTGCTTCATTGTCAGCTCCCTTTCCTCCGGGCTGTTAAACTCAGCCTTCAGTCGTCCGACCATTCTTTCTTAAACCTTCTTCCCATCTGCGCGTTCCACGCCATCATATACCGCCTTTGCTTAGCTCCTCAGCAACGTGCCAAGCACCATGACCTTCGCTCCTGGATCCCGGACACCTACCGGCTACTTGAACAACTCGAAGTCCATGAGGAAGACCTTGATGTTTCCATACTGAAACACTGCATGCCAAGGAATCATCATGTCCAGACGCAGCGACACCAGTTGTAAGAAATGACAACGATTGAGAAGCAGAAGAAAATGGTTTATTATGACATCTTATGCAGTAGTGATGAAATATTGTATACTTTTCATTAAAATAGTCATTTGTACAATGTGTTTCATTTTCTCTTCTGTTCTGTCTCGACTTTCTCTTACTACCCTCAGATTGTCTCTTACGTTTCTCTGGGCAGGATATTTACCCTTCGCTGGTAATTGTCCATGATTTCTGTGAACCTCTCAATATATACTACTTGTATACATTATTGTCAGTAGCACTCAATACAGCAGTAGTAGTAGGTGTGTAGGGCATCGTATCTGATAACTGAATTTTTAAAGCATAAAACACTCGTATCCTTCTTAAACGAGTCGTGGTAGACCATTTGACTTTTAGTAGAACAGATATTATTCAACGAGTCAAAAGCACTAATCTGCTAATCCGACTACAAATGAACACAACGATTTAACGATTATTCAGCTGTGAACACTTTGATCCATAGAGTATATGAGAACAGGTTCAGTCTCATCAATTTTTGATGAAACAGTGTTTGTAACTGAATTGCACTCAGAAATTAATTGTACTAAACAACAAGCAGTTTAAGTGTGTTGCTACAAGGATATCTGTGTTCTTTTCACATGTGAATACCAAATGTTTGTAGCCAACTTTGTTCCACTTAGCGACAGAACATCAAGGGATACATCATGTTACTTTACTAATATAAACCATTGGAATTGATTTGAAAGCTATGAGTCCAGTTATGCGAACTATTCATCCTACTTCTGAGGCATTTGTATCCCTAGTACCTGTGTAAAATACAGTTTCTCCATGATGGAATCCTGTTTCCTATAGCTAACTGATATTTTTCATGTTTTCCTTTCACCTAGAGTAGAACACGACAAGAAGTCGTCACATAGGACATTTTTAATGGAAGAGTAGTAAAAATGCTTTTATTACTATTTGTTGGTATGCTTGCAGTTCTCCTTTGTTATCGAATTGTTCGACCTTTATTGGCATATAGGCTTCTATGCGGATGCCTTGAGATTACTTGAAAATTTTTATTATGATAATTTACATGTTTGTGGCTAGCAGAGGAATCCAGGATGCGTGGTTGGTCTTATTTGGGACTCGTCAGCTGGATGTAGCTACACCCCAGTGAGTGATGCTGTTCCTACTTGGACTCAAACACAGAACCGACTGCTTCAAGTGTCAGAATGCTATACACTAGGCCACTGAGGGGTTTGAAGTGATGAGTATTGGGTTGCAGTCTCAGTGGAAACATGGCTCACTGGGAAGCAGGTACATCCAGCTGACCAGTCTGTAATAGGAAGAAACGCCCACCCTGGATTGTACTGTTAGCCACTACCCATCACTAAGTAACATATAATTTCTATGCTGCAGTGGTGTTTACTTACAGGAATGTAGCATTGTTCAAGCTGGATTGTGTTCCTTTTATTCAGTGTTTTTAGTGCAACCTCATGAAACGAGAAAACATTTCTGAATTAAGGCTACACCGAACTACTTAAAAGTATTAGAGTGGTAGGCTACTTCAGAATAAGGTTTTACGTGTTATTCGCTATTATACTGTGATCTTGAATTTTGATTTGAGCCTATTGGTTGAATCATTAGACATAATCATTAAGTTAAGCAAGCTGACATTAGCCCGGTTCCATAGGTACTGAACAACTTGAGTAGTTGGAAACTACCCAGGTTAATCTGTAGATTTCACCATTCAGATCAGAATGATATCAACACAGGATGGCTATTTCGCTCGCTTACGGCGTAGCTCATCAGCTCACAGATCCAAATAACTTCATATAACCTGAATCTGGCTATCTGATTTATCCAGGCACACTGCTAATGAACTCGGCCCTAAACGAGCGAAACAGCCGCCCAGTGTTTAGATCACCCTGATCTGACTGGCGAAATGCTACAGATCAGCCTGAGTGATTCCCAACTACTCACGTTTTTCAGTAGTAGTATCTCTGGCTATTTCATGACACTTCTATTTCAGAGACCATATCTTGTAATCTCAGATGAGTGGTTTCCAGCGGAAACTCCGTTAACGCTACGGTTTGGTAGTTGAAAAACTACTCAGCTGTGAGAAATGTATCAACATGAGCGGTGAAATTTGTATATCCTTTGCAAAGTGTTCATTCTATCATTTCAGTTTGCTTCGTTGCTTTGGATGTTGACTGAATGGTTAAACTCAGTCCAAAAAAGTAATCTTGCTAATCTTAATTCAGATTTCTACTTTACACTGGGGTATTACGAAATATTATCCAGTTGGGTGGTTTTGAACACAGGTGATTTTCATCGAGAATTGATACAACTGAAGAAAACGTTTAGAAATGGTGAACAATTAATTCATTTCTTCCTTTTCAGGGAGTCCTTCATCTATGAATACTCACCACTCTTCATGGGATCAAGCTTGAACTGAATTTTATCTATCGGTAGCTAATAATTCATATTTTCTAGCATTCATCATTGTCGAAATATCTTACATCGACATTTATCATGAGCGTTGATACACATGCCAATGATTTCATTTACCGTCATACTAAAATGTTCAGGATAAATCTTTAGCAAACACTTTATCTAACAGGCGATACCACTGAATTCAACAGAGTTTTCTGGAAAATTCTCTTTTTATTCATTTCGAAACTCTACACAGTCCATTTGCAGCTTCAATTTTCATATTTATGTGATTTGTCTTATAGACAAACTTGTTGACTAGTCAGGTGGTATTTTAACCTCCGTTCTTTCCTCAACCAGATTCTCGCGTTAACTCAGTGGATAGCTCTTGGACATCACTCCTTTGAACCAACCTGTCTACAGACAAGTCGTTAACATGACAACATTTCATGTTTTCACTAACCTGTAACTTAGGTCAAATCGTTTTTAATCGTTTTAACTTCCAGTCAAAATTGTACTCTGAAGGTAGTGTATATTGTGTAGCGAAATACAAAAACTTACTTGAAGTAATTGACTGTAATCCTTGAGAATTTGAATTGAATCTCTTAGACGCTACAGTGTTAAATAGAGTTCAATGTTGAAGGTTATAGCAAGTGCATTTTATTAAAACAAAAGCAATAAAGTGATTATCTTAAAGGTAAACTAGTAAAGCAAACAATTTTAGTGAGTTTTTCTTCAATCTCATTAGTGTTTCAAGTTAGTATTGATCATGGAAGAAAGTTAGTTGGAGAACCACTGAAAACCTTGGAGCATTGGATAGGAGTTTCGTCCTGGTATGGAACTCCTCAACAGTTACGAATTAGTTAACTCAGTAGATCATAGCCTTCTATAGTAACTCTAGAAATCCCTGTCACTATATCAATAACTAATGACCGGCAACTCTACACTCTAAAGATTGTTGTTTCGAAAAAATCGGTTTATTTGAGTAAGCTGCTCATTAGGAAATGTGTTGAGTAATCGTATCTACTGAATTCCTATGAAAGAAGTCTTGTTGTACAATGTGAATATTCATAATTTGATCTCGGGATATAATGAGTGTTGTGTTAGACTAATGTGGACTGTACTAAGAAGAAATATGTGTTTTTCATATTCCAGTGTTGATTTCACCTCATACTAGTGAGACTGTAGACCTTCATCGGCTACGGCTGCAAAATACTTTTGCATTTAACCAGGTAGCACCTACTACAATGTGCCACACTACTTCTAAGGGGAGAGATCATAGGGAGTTTAGACAATGTTGCAATGTCAGATGAAAAAAAATGTGATTATTTTCATGCTGAATGTTAACAGCCAGTCATCAGGAAGCCCAAGTTTATGCTTACTTACACTTGACAGTAAAGCATATCTTCAACCTTGGTGGATCAGTCGCTTAGTCGAAGAGTTTGTCTCGTGTAATTCAGTGCTAATATCTAGTAATAAACACAGTGTAATCCAGTATTATGTCATGAAACTCAGCAGAGACAGTACACGTATGATCAACAGACCTCTGTTTCCACTAAGGAATAGATAGTAACTTCATTTATCATAAGCTGACTGATTAGTATACATTATTTATCTAAGGAGCGTATGTAACTTGAGACGTTTTTATTGGGAATGTATAGAACCACTGACGATATCCGGCATGTTGCCATATAAGCATAATGTGGTACTCTAAATTTAGAAATATTACAATAAATTAATCAATTCAAACAATTTCTAAAACTACTCATTTAATACACTATTTCAATGAAGTAATAAGGGAACCGGAAACCGAGTGACCTCTGGTTCGAGTCTTGTTGGTGTCTAAATTTTTATTTCACCGTCAATCATCATCATTTATCACTAGAAGTCTGTCAAACTACAGCGATCTCAGATAGTCAACATAATAATTCACTGTTATCTTAGTTCTAACAAGACAAAATCTAAATGTGTCTGATTACATGTTTTATCAAAAAAATTGTTTCTTGGTTTCTTTCAATGTCGTCCGACGTAAAACAAGAAATAAAAGTGTATCTTCTTCCTCACTAACTAATATAAGTTCTCCACACATAAAAACTTAGTAGTCGATGTAACCCAATTCAGTATGAACAAGAAAATAGTGAAGGAGAATTCGCGATGTTGAATGGTAGAATGAAATGGAAGTAAGATGGAAGTTTAGGCGCACTAGTGTCTACAGAAAACCTTTACATTCAAACTGTTACTTAGACTTCAAATCGTCTCAACCTATGTCAGTTAAAGTTGGCTGAGTAAGGTGTCTAAGTATCACGGCCAAAAAACTTACTGGTAAAACAGAAGATATAAGACAAGAAATCAGATACATTAAAGACACCTTACTCACAAACGACTACCCTCTCAAATTAATTGATAAGTTCCTTAGGAATCGTAAGAAAAAATATTAGTAACATAGGTGTTAGTAGTAGTGATAATAATGTTAATAATAGTAATGGGAATACTGCGAAGAGATAATTCGAAACCTCTGAGATTAGAGTGGCACTCAAATCTACAAACTCACTTGGAAATAAGCTTTATAAGTTAAAGATCCTTTTGACCTAATTAAGGAGAATAATTTAGTTTACCAAATCCCTTGCAACGATTCCGGGGTCAAATACACAGGTCAAAGTACTTGACCAAGTTCACCTAGACTATCTGAGTACAAAATTCTAGCTAGATCAAAATTAGTAGATCGTAGTAAGGTAAGGAATTTAGAAAAAAGCTCAGACATAGCTGTGCATGTGATTATACACAACCATACAATAGGATGCGATGGAGTAAAAATCCTTAAAACTAATATAACAGGATGGAGGAAGAAATTGATAACTGAATCTTTGTTTATTCAATCAACACCTAATACATGCAACGAGAATGATTCAGCACCTGTTCCGGATATATAGGAAATCGTACTACCCATATCACAACTAGGGCGAGGAAATTAGGGCTATATAAAGAATGTATAGTGTTATTACAATAACACTAAAAGTATACCCGTCGCACAAGAAGTGGCTCGATGGCGTACTGGATAACGCTCTGGCGTTTGAAGCAGTCATGGAGAATATTTGTAGCTCAGGTGGATGGTCGTGGTTGTATTGTGTTCTCTGAGTTGGGTTGTTTAATCGTGAAGCTTTCATCGCCTTGCTAGACGACATCGTCAGCACTAACTTCAGTGTGAAGTGAGCTGTCGATATCTTAGTAGCTTGCCCAGACGATGTAGTCTGTGATTGGTTGTTTCCTTCGATTGTTGTGTCATTGATTGTATAGACTTTCCTGTTGGCTGTTCCACTGCTTCACCTCTCACCTTTCTGTCGTTTATCAATTTTCTTATTGGTTGATAGATCGGGTCTATTTTTATACATCTGTTGATTACTGACTGGCCTGAATGCCGGAAAGCTGGAAACCCAAGTGTATAGGAAGCCAACACACACTGACCAAATCCTCAACTACTGTAGCAACAACCCAACAACACACAAAGTCATTTGCGTGCAGACTCTATTCAAAAGAGCGAGAACACACTGCAGCACAACAACTTCACGGAGAAGCGAAGAAAATTACTTGATGCCCACCCTAAAGAAGAACGGCTACCCACGAAACTTTATCAGAAGATGCCTATCCCATGTGTCATCAACTACAAAGTCATTGACAGAAATCAATAAACGCACCATCCTACCATACACAAAGAATATTTCAGAAATCACGACAGGATTACTGAGACCACTTGGAATTGGTGTGGCTCATAAACCAACAAATTCCCTCCAAACACTATTATGCAGACCAAAGGATGCAACAAGCAAAGAAGACAAACCGAATATCATTTACAAAATCAACTGCAATAACTGTAGTCAACACTACATTGGACAAAGTGGTCGCCCTCTTCGCCTTCGTCTACATGAACGCCAATTGGCTATTAAACGTCACGACATTTCGTCATTCATTTCAATGCACGTGGATAACAACCATGGACATGAATTCAATTTGGACAAAGTAGAAATTTTGGACGGAGAGAGGAAACACAAAGAATATCAGAGAATTCCTAGAAGCTTGGCATTCAGGTCAGTCAGTAATCAACAGATGTATAAAAATAGACCCGATCTATCAACCAATAAGAAAATTGATAAACGACAGAAAGGTGAGAGGTGAAGCAGTGGAACAGCCAACAGGAAAGTCTATACAATCAATGACACAACAATCGAAGGAAACAACCAATCACAGACCACATCGTCTGGGCAAGCTACTAAGATATCGACAGCTCACTTCACACTGAAGTTAGTGCTGACGATGTCGTCTAGCAAGGCGATGAAAGCTTCACGATTAAACAACCCAACTCAGAGAACACAATACAACCAAGTTTGAAGCAATCGTTCCCGAGTTGGAATCCGGGTAGGAACAACATCACTCACTGGGAGGTTGGTACATCCAGCTAACTAGTGAGTTCTAAATAGGACAAAATGGGCATCCTGGATTCCACTGCTAGCCACTATCCATCACTACTATACATAACTAAAACACAGGCAATATCGGGGCATCGGCACTGGAAGCCATATGCCAACAGAGACCGATCAATTCGGTCCAATCAACGACGGTGTAATACAAGCAATAACACTATATAAAGAATGTTTAAAAGTTATATGCATATTACTTACTTTTCAGATTGAAATTGTAACCTGTTTCTTGTTTTAGTAAAACACTAGAGATATTGTATGAAAGCTAGTCAAGAGAATCGATAATTGAAATCTATCAGGAAGCTCAATTTTATGACCGGAACTTCCAAAAGTTCTTAGGATCTATGACATCTGGATATCAACATCGATGGTTAAACTTATTGATTTAATGAAACAAGTTGACGAAGAAAGTTCCCGTAAAAACAAAACCTTTTACGAAATAGATCATGTTGACATTTCAGACAAGTTCTTTGTATCATACGATGTGACTTCCTTATTTAGAAGTATACCAGTAAGTGAAACGATTTCTATAATCTGCCAACAAATTGATCTGCTACTATTGCCCGGAACTGAAATGAAACAGTTACTAGTCTTTTGAACAAAAGATGTTCAGGTGCAATTCAGTAATAAGCTTTATCGAGAGATTGATAGAATGGTCATAGGTTCACCTCTAGGACTTGTTCTGGTAGATATATCCATGGGCTATCTTGAACGGACGCACCTGAGGTGAGTCATCAGAGGAACAACCTATTACTTCAAGTACATTGCTGACACCTGTAAAACATTTAAGTAAGTTGTTTGATCAGCTCAGTAATGCTCATTGTAACTTTAAATTAACGATGGAATATGGGAATGGAAATGAGTTCAGCTTTTTTGGACCTCGATGTAAGAAGAATTGGTGACATGAGTGAAAAGATCCTCCACAGAAAAGATACAAAAAGCAGACATTAACCTATCTACAATAGTCTCTATCCTGGCAGCTATAAGCGTGGGCTATTCAAAACACTTTACAACAGAGCTAGGAAATTATGTTCTGCGAACAAGTACGAAGAAGAACTAAACTTTACTGAGAAGTGTTCTCAACAGAACAGATATCCTAGGAGATTTATTATGAAGTGTGAAAAAGAACAGATTGAAAGAAATAAACATTCAACATTCAAGGGAGATGCAGTATCCACAAGAATCAAAGAAGCACTTGAAAGGAGCTTTCCTTCAGGTAAACTTGTATCAGCAAACAATAAAACATGTTCACTGAACCAGTCAAAATTGGATAATTACTCTTCTCATGTCACCTCCAACTGTACTTATGAGTTCAAATGCACTTGAGGTGGGAAGTACACGGGAATGACTGAGAAGAGAGCACCCATTCGGTTCGCTGAGCATTTCCTCAAGAATGTGTCCTTGAAAGGAAGTAAAATTTTAACCAGTGGCGTTACCAGACATCTCATGGACACACGACATTAGGTTGAAACCTCGAGTTCTTGTAAAATAATAAACGTACAGAAAATGTCTAGATAACTACGCTTCGTGATAGAGATTACCATAATACGCTTTCAAACCGATTTTTGCATACAGAAGGGGAGTATGGTTAGTCTCCCACTTCCTTGGTGAATATTATTATTATCATTATTATTCTTCCTTTCTTACATTTCTTACCTCTACACACTTAATTCTCTCACATCTTGTATGAATTGTCAATGATTTTGTTGTACAACTTAGGATTATTGATGAAAATACTATTTTATTCTGGGAATTTTGTCCTGCTTGCTTTGATTAAAGACGGATATACAACTAAATAACTTCAGGAATAATACTGCATGTAAGTACCTGGGAAGAGTGCGCTTTACTGCGTGAAAAGGGTAGGGATACTCAAAAAAGGAAAGAACTGGAGAAGTCATTCATTAGGGAGAGTGAACAAAAACTGGGCTAATGAATAAATGATGGTAACGTTTACTCTAAATAGCTTAGTGGATGTTATATGAGCCAAGAAGTGGAAAATGGGAATCTCTAACAAATTCCATTGATCGTTTTATCACATTTATTTTAAAAACCATCCAGTTTTTGTGTAGCTCAAATCAGGAGCCTTCAACTGATCATTGATGAATTTATATACGACTTTTAGGCCTGGGAATTATTGCTTATTGAGTGAAAGCCATCCATTATTGTGCATTACCCCAGTTTTTATACTTGAAATCCGTTGTTTCCTCTTTATAAGTTATGCTACGTTGTATTCACATCGTTTAGTTGTGTATGCAGATAAATCAAATCGCCTGAAAGGGATAAGGAAAATAAGCACCTGATTTTGTGTTCTTTTGTAAACGGTCGGGAAGCCCGAATTGCGTGGTTCATCTAATAGGTGGTTTGATTGTACGAGGCTGGGCAAGTATATTCAAGGACAGTCATGCCCAAGGCCAGCGCCAGTACTGAATCAGCAGAATCACATACTTGAGACAGTTGGGACCAGACAAAAGTCATTACAATGTCCAAGTCTCTGACTTCAACACTAAGTGATACAGATTCGAACCGACGAAGGGTTAGCAGTTTTCTCATGGTTGCAGATACGATCAGCTGAAGGGTGCCAACAAGCACAATGTCTAGAACTTACGAGGCTTCTTACCTTCTGACTTCTAGCATATAGTGTATTCAGTCGAACAGATCATACTGTTCATATAGTCTGCTGCACTATGTGGTCACAGTTTTCTGAGTAGATATTTCACTATCAGTCTAGACCTTATCTTTAATACCAATATCTTACAGTAAGACAATACACTAAAGGAATACATTTTATTCTAGATCTTATTGGCTTTATCATTTGTGGTGTATGGAAAACTTGGTGATGTCGAATTTGTCTCTACTGTATATGGACATCAGATAGAGAACAGATTATTAATTAACCGGCAGAGGTTAGTTGCTAACGTTCCATTGAAGACTAAGGTCAAACTTTCCTAATTTGCGGAATGCCAATGGGTGTTCTAAAATCCAGAGAGTCAGATACTAACTACTAAGAGGTCCCCAAACTACGACGAAACAACTGTTTATTGATGGAACGTAGAAAGTCTACCGTTATTAAAGGTAGCAGACCACTGTTGGATTGCCAGACCAAGATATCACACTCGTCCCTGAAGTCTTACTGTCGATCTCGGCCATGTAGGTAGATGTAGGCTACCTAGTTGAGGTAATTACGGGAAAAATAAACAGTATTGTGAAGGAAATCTTGAAAAGAGTTCATTAGACTCCTTCTGACTCGCGGACTGCCTGCAACCAACTGAAATCCAATGAAGTCCATCATGATGGTGAGCCTCCTAACACGGTGGCCACATTGCAAAACGACCGATAAAATTCACTCAGTACCTAAGGCGAGGAGGGGCAGGAGGAGGAGCGAGAACAGAAGCATATGCTGACTAGACCAATGAAAAGACTCTAGAAGATTTAGACTTCGCCAGCAATGATGATATGTGTCCGATATCTTGTCGCACAAACTCGGAGATTTATAGGCAAAAATCAACAAGTTGATAGAAGAGGTAGGGCAGCGAAGGAAGACTGGACTTCCTTCAGGTGAACGTAGAGAAGATAGAGGTGATGAAGATACCCAACCAAAAACAACATCAATAACAAGCACCAAACACCATCAACGGGGGAAATCTAAAGGAAGTAGTCTCTTTCACCTGCCTAAGCTGAGCAGCATGGTTTCGACTACAGGAGGTGGCACAGCTACCGATGTCGAAGCCAGAATTGGAAAGACAGCAAGAGAGATCTTCCTGCATCAACCTGGAATGATCAGTTTGGGGATTTACTGCACTCAGCATAAACCGTGAACAACATCTGGATTTTCAACACCAACGTCAAGTCAGTGCTTCTATGTGATGGTTGAGAGACTTGGGGCGTCACGAAAAGTATTTTCAACAAACTACAGACATGCATCAAGCAACAGCTATCTACGCTCACTCGATACTGAAGATCAGATCAGATGACTAGAGGGAATAAGTAACAAGGAACTCTGGCAACAAACTAACCAAGAAACTATCGCCCAATAAATATGCAGAAGACGTGGAGATGGATTGGACATACAGTGAGAAGACGGTTTGGGGAAATCACGCGTCAAGCCTGGCCATCAAGCGGAACCCTTTGGGAAACGACGAGTTGGGCGTCCGACATGAGGGTGACATGGAGGAGATCGTGTGAGGAAGAGATTAAATCTTGTGGGCAGTGGTGGAGCCAGGTTGGCTTTTAGAGATAAAATTTCAGGTGACTTAAATGGCAAACAGAATACCAACTTCGGGATACATATACATGACACTTTTGTAGAACAAGCACCACCTTGTTTTTGGTCTCAGTGCTGTGCATTGTAATGTTAGTTATTACTGCTGCTTACCAGTAAAAACATTCTTAGTTGAATGTCAAGAACATTGGTTAGTGCTTCTTCTCTCATGAGCACAATAGATTGAATCGTGTGATTCAGTAGCCCAACCATACACAGACCATCATGTATGGTTCTGATCAAAATGTTTTCACTAGAATTTCTATTGAAATTACTTATGGCATAAAGGACAACATTGAAAACCTGATGAAATCCTGTTATCTTCTGAGAAGGTGACAACAAGTTCCAAAGTTGTTACGCTGTTAAAGTCTTCTTTATGCAAAGATGTATAATGCTGTTTTTTAATAATTTCCGATTTTTAATCGTTTACCAAGGGATGTTTTATGATTTACTTCTATAACGACTACTTACCAAAGGCTTAGTGAGAATAAGATCACTAACCAGGTGTTTTGTACCACACCAACACTCTTCAACAGCACACGTACATAACTTCCGGATAAAGTGGAACTTACAATTTTGAAACTTTGTACAATAAAACTTTTTGACAAATTTCAGCAATGTACACATTTTATTCATAAATAAAAGGCATTATGCACTATGAAATAATGTAAAAGAGGGAATCAACTTCCTAACCTTAAAATGACTAACGTTTTGTGTTCGATTGTTTACTTCATCCACTGTTCTCCTTATTTTTTCATTATATACAAAGATGTGGTCAAAATCTTTCTGGAACAAATTAGGAGAAATTGAAAAGAAATCCGTTAGAAATGTCTATTATTGCGAAATTTAGTGTCAGTTTACCAACTATTGACTTAGGACTTATTTAGTCAATCAAATTGATTGATACTTGTAATTTGAAGTTGTTATACTGCATCGAATTGATTGAATTCTGTTGGTCGATGGAAACTTATGCGGATGTCTGAATATTGCCTGACTATTATGTTTTAATTTGCTTGTATCAATTTATAATTACCAATGAATAATAATAATTGGTGCTTTTTGCACAAGAGGTGGTTTACGTGGCGTTTGAAGTACTGGGTACTAGGCTACAGTCTCAGTCGAACAACGCCAATCACCAAGAGATGGTTAAGTCCAACCGATAAGTCACTAATAGTGGAGTCCATCACTCTATATCTGGCTGAAATTTCCATGTTCCAAAAATCTGACTGACCGTGATCGGCTAGTCGGACCTCAGAGGCATTGTATGGAATTTAGCAGATTAGATTACTTTGCCAAACTAGGCCTATTGTATCCTTAAACCGGCAAAGCTTATTTCTGAGTGACTTTGTAGGTTTAAGTGCCACTCTAACTCCGGCCATGTTGAAAATCCTACGTTAAGATTCTGATGTTTCTTCCTTATATGATAACATAGCACAGCCTTTGAACTTATTTCTTTCTGCTCATGTTTTCGCTACTATTCACAACCATATTACTGTTATCACTTTGTTTGTTATTTGTCCCTACGAATATCTTAATCAGCAGTGGAGGATAATTGTTAATTAGTAACGTTCTTTTTATACATTTCAGTTCCTTACTTAAGTCCTGTACTGATTAGGAAGTTTTCTAGCCCTATTATTTAGACATTTGACTGTTTTAGTGAATAGATCAAACTACCGGATCGAGATCAGTCAGGCTATCGGAACATAGGAATTTAGCCAAATATAGAGTCAATAATCTGTTGCAGTGTATGTATTCACACACAACCACACAATAAGGTGGGATAAAACCACTGTACTTGAGTCTAGTATAATTAGGTGGAGAAAGAGACTTATTCCTGAATCTTTGTTCATCGAATCAACACCCAACATATGTAACTGGAATGATGTAACGCCTCTAACAGATAGAGATATGGAAAATTTCAAAATCAGCGTATATGAGGTGATAAAACTAAAAAAATAATCAGATGTTGAAAGTCAACAAAGTCAACCAAAGCTCAGAGAACATCAAAACACTATCAAACATATAGTGTATTTCAATGTTATAAAAGGTCTGTGCTGATATAAGGAAATGGGTACTCGTTACTAGCCTGTGTAAAACCCAGGGTGATTTCATGTCTCATTGTTACAAATCAAATGGAAAATTAATTAAATTTGTATACTGCTTATTTTTTGCTACTAACCTCTTATAAGTAATTGGATGTGTCTTGAGAATTCACATCTTCTAACCTACTTTTCAATCGAGTATCTCTTGGATACAATTTAGTATTCATTACTCACTGAAGTCAGTCAAAGAGCCAGTGCATACCTGGTAGCACTGGACAGCTATTTTGTACTAGTACGAGAACCCTCAGCAGTGCATATCCATAACCCCGCCAGGAATCGAACTCAGCACTTACACATCTCGTGGTGAACACGTTAATGGATCAGAATCCATTGATCTTTACTTATGTCAGTTTGCAATACCAATCCACAATGAATACCAACTTGAAAAGAGTAATTCCCCATAAACCTCCAAACTGACATGTCTAATCAGCGATTAGTGGTACTATAATAAAAAAAATTGGGAAAAATTAAAATTCATGCATCATATCTCTGTATTTAAAGTGCCAATATTAAAAAAAACGAGGCATCTGTTATTTTAAGTGCGGGAATTCAATAGATGACAACAAGGCATTTTTTGGAATAACAGTTAGTTTTAAAATTGCTTACTTTACACATTTCACATTGTTTAATTTCTGCTTCCATCTATTGCATTGAGAATAAATGAAAACGATGTGAAATTAGTGTTATAAGTAGTAGTAACATTATTCAATGGATTCAACGTACACGTTGTTTTATCAAGATCATCGTATAAATATTTTTTATGTTTCGGGTGTTTATGCTTACTTCTAAACTACGTTCTACCTGAAAATAATGATGGAAAATTCATCATATATAATTCAGCGGACAAAGTTTTTTTGATGAATCATTTTTAGAAGCTACACACTCGTCTTTATAGTAACAACAAAATATGTGTCCATTAATGGCTAATGGTCAATACAATTTTTGATGGCCTTGGGTTGACCTTCTAGCGATGATAACCTTATTACTCTATTGACGACTTCTGGTGACCTTGTATTTGCTCACTAGCCAATGACGGACGTATGTTTTTGTTGTAACAATAAATACTAATGTGCAGCTTCTGAAAATGATTCGTCAAGAAGAAAATTTTCCCCACCCAGTTATGGGGATTTACTTTTTGATTTACGGTTGGTATTCACAAGGGACTGACATCAGCGCGCCTTGCTGAGGAGTCCCGTACTAGGACGAAACATCTGTCCACTGTTTTCGAGTTTCCAATATTTCTGCAACTGAAGTCAGTCCATGATGAATGCTAAATGTTTTTTATCATTTTGATTATCTGCTATAGCTGAGGTTTGACAGATGTGTATTATTGACACTAGGTCACAGGTAAACTTGAGTCAGTGGTCTCCGGGTTACCGCCACCTTCCTCTACCAACTAATGATGGTTATGCAAAGGCCAAATTTCCTATTCCAGGCTAGAAATATGAACAAGCAATCATGTTTTGTTTTTATCACTACTGGTATGTTCAGATAAATACATAAGGGTTAAGAATAGCAGCTGCGATATAGTAATTGTAATTATTGCTATTCACTATAGTGTACGCAAGAACAATCGGTAAAATTGAAATAATTTAGCAAAGATGTGTGCACTTTTCTAGTTATGGTGGTTTGATTCACCTAGTTGCCACGACAACTTCAAACTGAACTACTACTCAGTAGTCATTAGTGATTTGTTTTGAAATGAGATTCCCCGAAGCTCTAGTGAGAAATTGTGACCGGTAGGGTAAACCAAGTCAAACATGATGATAGGTACTCAACGATGGCATAGGATTAAAGTCTTACTACACTGGGAACCAACAAAAATGGGAAAATGTGAGCAACTGGATTCTTACCCAATGGCTGAATAATAGCATGATCGCCGCCAAACCTGAGTATCCTGGGTTCGACCATCTGATGTGGTCATGGGTGTTCATTACCAAGGAGTCATATACTAGGACGAAATGGTTGTATAATGCTCGTAGGTTTCCAGTGTTTCTCCAGCTGATGTCAACTTGTAATAAATACTAACGTGACATCAAAAAGTGAATCCATCCCTATAAACCGTCAAAATGAATGCTTTGTAAGTTTGACCATTGGAATAAACCATTAAAAATAGCCAACAAATAGGCTGGTATGACTGTTTTTGTTTTGTTCTTCAATGATAGTGTCATCCTGTGACAAGATGAGATAATGATTTTTTAAATTTAAAAAAAATTAGTCCCATTTTAAATGTATTACATGATAATTAGGATAAGGGCTATTGAGGCTTGGATGGTAAGAACAAGTGGCTAATACGAATTGTAGTTACGACATATATTTAGTGCTAAGTAAAAACCAGAAGGCCTACCATTGCGGTACATTTGGATGGAGGCGATCGTCAGAAAGTAGTGCTTGACCTAGGTTTCGTGCTTATCGGCGCTCATCGACAAAACATGTCTGAAACCTAGAAGATGATGTCCACTCTAAGTTTTGGAGATGAGTCACGTAGTGTTGTAGTCAGTGACCACTGAGCTATTCAGGGCATAACTGACCTCCTTTAGGACTGGATTATATTAGAGTAGATTAGAGTCGAACAATGAACTAAAGGTACTGATGTTCTCCTTTAGTTTTCAAGTTACCAAAAGCATCAAGTCCATTCTAGTTACTATCTATAAAGTTATACAGAAGGATGTAGATTTTCATAGGCAATTGAATAAGACGTTTGGAGTTTACAGACTGCTTACTAACTAAACCGTTATACTTCATACAGTCCAACCTATAAAATTTTGGCTTAGTTTTTGAACGGTTTACACTCTTCTAGAATCGTTTAGACGTCAAAAACCTTGCAATACCCGGTGACGGAATGAATTATGTGCTAAAAACGTCTTGGAAAAGGGCAGATGATGTCACATTCAGGCCATCAGTATAAACTGAAGGCTGTTGTTAAGTCATATATGGTATATGACTGTTGCACCTGGTAGGACAACATCAGAGGAGGCTGTTTTGTGTCAATAGTAGTAGGACTATTACTCCTTGTTTCTGAACTATATGACTCACTTCATATGCTTCTACTGAACAACTTAAGGAGTTAGATCTGTAGATTCCACTGGCCGGATCACACTGATCAAAGCAGTGATCAGCAGTGCCTCTCGTTTTGCCGTCGAGCTCATCAGCGGTGTACCCAAACAAACTCAGCTTATGGACCTGAATTAGTCCAGATCACTTTAATCTGACTAGCTGACTTACATGGAGTGGTAAACCTGAGGAATTTATGACTATTCAAGTTATTCAGTAGCAGTAGAAAGTTCATGAAACTTTTGTATCAGAGATAGCACCTGGGAACTTTAGTTTCAGCGTGGTTTGAAACAAAAAATCCGTTGACCTGCATCACACTAAGGTGTGAAACTGTGAACTTTGTGCTTTATTGAGTCATCTTATATATCTGTTGTGTAATCCACTCATCATATAAGCCCTATACTTGAAATCTATTCACAAATAATTATATGGGTATATCTGATATTGTTCAACTATGCATTGACAATCAATGAGTGGAATGATCCATTTACTTTCGTGCTGTTCTCTGCTGAATATTAGCAACAGTTTGTATAGACATCAATAAGTAAATTATGATAACTTCGAAAATAATTCGAAGAAGTAACTCGTCTAAAATGATTATTCCCTCCTTTCACTGATCTAGTCACATCGGTATGTACTTGAATTAGAAAAGCATTCATTAAGTCAAGAATATACTGATTTTAGCTTACAAAAGACAAAGGATTCGATGTTTTTTCTTGTATTATCCCGTCGTTAAGTGGACTGAATTGATTGGTCTCTATTGGCATATGGGTTCCTACGCAGATACTTCGATATTGCCTGCGCTTAAATTATATGTTAATGATGGATGGTGGCTAGCAAAAGGGTCCTATCTAAAACTTGTTAGCCGGATGCATTTGACTCCCAGTAAGAGATACTGCTCCCCCTAGGACTCGAACTCGGGGTCGATCGTTTCAAACGCCAGGGCGTTATCTGCTAATACAAGCAACAACATTAAAACTGTACCCATCACACAAGGAGCAGCTTTTGTGATTCAGTAGTTAATTAGATAACCCTCTGACTTTTTGAAACGATTGGTTCCGAATCCCACTCCTAGTGGGAACAACATCGCTCACTGGGAGGGGGTGTACCCAGCTGATGAGTCCTAAATAGAACGAAACGCGAGTCCCGGATTCCACTACTGGCCATTATCCATCATTCATAGATAAACAGTTTGGTTGAAAATATTTCAAAAAGCTTCAAGCCCATGCTAAATGCAACAGGATAATGAATCTTTAAACTCAATTAGGTGAATAATCACACAGGTGCATTAAATGATACATACAGATAGACTATTTTCTCGAATATTATCTCAAATCGAACGTATTGCTAACAAGGCTGTTTAATTCATTTCCCAATTTAAAAAAATCGTATTTTCTTCAGGTTAAACACTAAAAAAGATGTTTTTGTAAACATCTGCTATTTAAAGAGGAAATATTTCTTCGTATAATACAGTGTTTAAAAAATGTACACAAATTGTCTAAGATTTTATTGATTACACATACCATAGTTATCCATTAATTAAACAAAATTTAATTCAGGTGATTTAATTATTGTTTTGCAGAGACTGATTGATCTAAAAGTAGTCTTCATTAGAGACTGCTATCATTTCGAGAACAATTGAAGATCCGAGAGCACTGAACAGATGCTTTGTCCTAGTATGGTATTCCTGAGCTGTGCGCATGCATGGCCTCATGATGGATAAAGTCTAAGGTTATCCAGGTTTATGGTGACAAAAATGCCGTCCAGCTAACTGCTGAAGAGGTTTGAGCTAGGATGAGACAGTTATCCACCCCTTCCAGGTTTTAGTGTCTCATAAATTGATATCAGTCTGTGATGTAAAGTACTTACACATAATTGAAAATTAAATCATTCATACATTCATATGTCCCCTTAGTTCGTAACTGAGTTTTTAAAACTCACACTGTTATGCTAGTAGTCTTTATAACTGAGGTTTTTGTTAGGGTTGTTAAACAGGCTAACTGAAAAGGAATTTTGATGATGAATTACTTTATTAACCGCTTGAGACTTGAATGCAGATATTCGGTAGTGAGAAACGTCTTTTGGGGCTCTACTTAGATAACAACATGTTCATAACTAGCGTCAACTCCTAGGATAAAAATTTTCTTTTTATAACCTGGTATCCTCCATCTGTCACAAGGGACTTTAATGAACCACCAGGCAACTGGTGAAATAACCAAACAGGTTTCGATATTATGACCAGAAAAGTAGTGTTTCCTAAAATATAGAGGCCTAATTGGTTATCTTAGCAGTAGGTAAGGTGACATTTTAAGTCACTCAATGTCACTCACACCAGAACTCAAGCAGATCACATAAAAGTAAGTTACAGACTTCATTAAAATATCAAGGAAGTCGAAAGACAGCCAGCCTACTGGACACAAGATCAACAAGAGAAGCAGATGAAGGTTGACACCACTAACTGTCTAGTGCAAGGAACCTAACTTCAAAATCAAGTTGAAAGCCATCAATTCGAGGAAGCTGGTGATAGATGACCACAGTTCAAGTTCAAAACCCAGGACAGAAACTGAACTCAAGGAAGAAACTACAGT